GCGGATCAGAGAAAGCAATCGCTCTACTCCTCTGCTGTTGGCATTTCCAGGATATCGTGCCCCCACCCCACCTCAACAAGTAAAAGTATGTTGTAAGTCTCCCAGAGTACTGGACAGCAAATAAATTTCACAATAAATAAAATAAAAACAAGGAAAATCCCGGAGCACCTGATGCAACTGAATCCACTGCTCCAAAGTTCTAGAGGTGCTGCTTCTACATTACAGAAGTCCCACTTTCCTGTCCTCTTATATCAAAACTATGCAGGGGAGAGAAAGAAAAACATTCAGATTTGCAATTTATACCCAAGAGATCTTCTTCCGGGAACCCTCTTGGAATTGGTGGGTTTCCACGGAGAGAAGGGCCTTCAGAGCATTGGACTTCAAGGCTGCAGGTGGTTCTTCACCCCTTATAAGCTGCTGGGGGCTCCGCCTTGGAAGCTCTTTTGAGGGAGATGGACCCTACCTTCTTTGGAAGACAGTTGTGGGGAGGGGGCTGCATCTCAGCCCAGGGACGGAGAGCCGGGGCCACTGCAACTCTGGCTTTGCTACTCGGTTAGGCTGGGAATTCTGGATTCCTGCATCAAAGGAGATATTTATTCCCTAAGATGTCAAGAGGTTTACTTTAAGACCGGTAAGGAAATAAACACATGGATAAAAAGCTTCTGGATGCTTTGTATCTTAGTCCACGGTGGGCTTCTGCGGGGGGGGGGGGGGGGGGCTCCTTTCAATTTTTGCTGTTTACAAAAGTCTTTGTGTAATTTCCCAGCCTCTTGTATTAAAACTATGCTGGGGAGGAAAAAAGAAAAAAAAACATTCTGAGTCGTAATTTGCCCCCCGGAGACCTTCTAAGAAATCTCTTGCAATTCGGTGATAAGGCCATCGTATTTGGAAATCCTTGTTTTCACTGAAGTTATGTTTTTTTTAGCAGACATCAGAAAAATGTACCTCCAAGCAAATATTTTAGTGTTTATCTATCAGTCCTGTGGGTACGATCGCTTCTATGTTTAACCACAAATATTTAATCAACTTGGAAACCTGCAAGGAGAATTCCAAGAGGTGTAAAGTAACGCATTAACAAGTCACACATGCCTCCTCCCTCGACAAACCCAAGGGAATCCAAGGAGTGACGCTTCCTGCCTTGGAGAGCATCTGAATTAGAATCCAGACCGGAGGGGGCGCTCGGAGAGAACTGGGAAGATCCCCCCCACACACACACAAAAACTATGTAGGTATTATCACCTGTCTGCCTGCACTGAGTCCTTGGGGGGAAAAGCCATCCTTAAAAACAGCAGCTGCAGGCTGCAACTTGGACGTGGAACAAGGGTCTTTTCCTGCATGCGGAGGAAACGCCCCAAGGGACGACAACTCTTCTTTAAGGGATCGAAGGCAGGAGGGAAGCCCAGGTGGCAATACCTGGAGGAGGCCCAAGGATTGCAATGCAATGCAGTTAGCCCTCAACTTATGACACTTCAGTTAATGGCTGTTTGAAGTGCTGGAAAAACAGGGACTTAGGACTGGTCCTCAGGCTTATGACCGGCACAGCGTCCTAGGGGTCACAGGAACGAGATTCAGGTACTTGGCCACTGGCATGTATATATGCCCCCACTCTCTCAATCTGAATTTTTAGGAGCTTATTCTCATTTTTGGAAGCCCCGGAGGATGCATGCTTGGGAAACTTTACACATTTCCTAATTCTGCCCGGCAATTCAAAAAAAAAAATTATGCCAACCCCGCCACCCCCAACTATCTGGGGAAATCATGCAGAAAACCTAATAAGGTTTTATAATGTTAGAGAAACTTTTAGTGACGAGACGGGCATGCAAACCTCCCCACATTTGGAAAGGTGCACGTTTTTCTGTTGAGTTTTATTTTGTTTTATTTCACTTATTTTTTTTTTGCACATGCATGCAAAAGGGAGACTGGAGAGATTCCCCCCCCCTTTTTTTCCTTTTTACAAAGGTGATCTATAAAAGACTAGTTGCGTTCGCCCCACGACTGTAAGTAGGTTAAGTTTTAAGAAATGAGCTCATAAAATCCATTTGCCGCTTTTAATGGGTAGAAATTGATATAATCTTTCACAGTCCTTTAATTGGTCGAGAGGGACCTCTAGCTAAGCGTCCCACAAAGAGCTGAGAACAGCCTGGCTCAACAAAGGAGTTACTCGCCCCCTGACCTTGCCCTCTTCGGAAGAAGCCAATGACAATTGCCTTGGCTTTCTAGCTGAACGAAATTCCGTCCCTAATTAATGCAAACTGCTTGCTAGTTTGGAATTGAACTAAATGAACGCTTGGAAGGGAAAGATTAGCTTTGGAGACACCTGCTAGTCTGCATTTTCATCCGAGTTCATGCTGGCTTGACCCCAAAGCATTGGGGCATCTGGTCAGCTCTGCTCCCTCTCTCAAATTCCTCCCCCCGCCAGAGATGCAAAACTCCCAAGGAATCCTTAGGGTGGGCTACAATTGCCCGCCTCCCAAGCGTTCATTTCACAAGATTGTGTTCAACGTTGGGAGAGTCCAGAGACTTTTAAAAAGTCTGAAGTATCTTGAGGTAAGAAGCCAAATGGGTAAGAAAGAACACACCAGCAGAGAAAATGGCGAGGCTGTGGTGTGTCCGACGCTCCCTTCCTCAGACGGTGTCAATGCCCTGTGCTGTAGGAAGGCAACAGAGCGACAGGAAGAGAAAGAACTCAGAACCAGAAGGCACCTCGGAAGGTTCAGGAGCAGCCCTGGTGGATTTTGGGGGTGGCTCGCTCCCAACAGCCATCCAACAGAGGGCAGCACCACGCTAGCTTTTGACTTGGAGAAGTCCCTGTGTCTTCTGGCGGCCAGAAACGGCTCTTGTGTGGGTCCCAGACTTTCTCCTCCAATTCTCTGGTTTTAGTCTGTCCCCTGAAGGACACAGCACGATGTGTTTGGGGCCTCTAGGGTGAGTGGATGAGACCTTCTAACCACACAAGGTCTTGATTTCCATTCAGGATGTCTTGTGTCGTTTCTGTTGCTCACAAAGGCCATGTCTCCCTTAGTAGGGGGGTTCCTCAGGAGGTGATGGAGGGGCAAGAAGGCTGCAGAAACCCTGCTAGAACAAGGGCTTGCCAAGAATACCCCTCCTTCGAACCAACTCCTCACCAGGTAAGTGCAGGGAGGTGGTATCGCCTCTCTTCTCCCTCCAGCATCTAAAACCAAGAATGCTCCATCCAGTGGAATGCAAAACTGCTTAAGGGGGGAAATGCAGGAAGTTTCACTGGCCTGGCATAACCTCAGAAGAAGCTTGGGTGATGTTACAGGTCGAGGGTGCCCTCTAGGGACCAAAAGAGCTCCCCAAAACAAATAGTTCCTCTCTGTCTTTGGAACAAGTCCCGGCCTCTCCCTGTCCTGGAATTCTGGCATGTTCTCAGCCACCCAAGCGGCCAAAGCCTGCTCTGAACCTGTTAGGTGAGGTCAAGAGCTTGGCTGGAGATGTTTAGGGACGGGATGACATTGAGTGAGGCGGCTTCGTTTACACACCAAGGGAAGAGGAATCCACGCTGGTGTTCTCACCGAGGCTTCCTGAGACGGTCACAATCATACATGCCATTTCCAAAAACCTCTTATTTTATTTCAAGGGCAGTGAATTATATGCATTCACAGCCCGTAATGAGTCCCAAAGTGCTTGTGAAGAGTCCAACAGAAGTCTGCCACAGTCTTTTTGGGATAAGGCTGATAAGCACCCACCTTTATTTCCCTTGAAATGCTGCCAATGGCTAAATTGCCCATTAGCTGTATAAGGCCAAACAGGGCACAAAGTCAACACAGAGCTTCAGAGTTTAAACCGACCAGATTGAACGACGTTGCTTCCTGCAAAGGCTCCTGTCCCTTTGCTCCTCCTTTATGGCTTATGGGAGGGGCCAATCACCTCCAAGCCTTACTCCCGAGTCGCCCCTTTGTCTTAACTGTTCTTGCCTTCTGGCAGCTCTACGCATGAGCGCACTGGGAACAGGCTCCCCTTGTTCCTCTGCCTCGCTGCTGTCAGATTCTAGAGGCTCCGGAATCGGCACATAACTCCCAGATGTCCTTGGCCCCGTCTCTGTGTTGGATGCAGATCCCTTGTCTGAATCCTCCCCAGACTCCTGGACTGGCCCATGTCCCTCCCCACTGTCCGACTCTGCTGCCAGCTCTGCAGGCTGCCGACGACCACAACAGCCGGGCTTTTACTGAGCTAAATGCTTCCTGAGAGCTGTGTCCTTATTCCAAGGGAGGGGAATATTAGTGAAATGGCATATTTGGAGGGGGGGCTGCAGACCCTGCCGGCGCAGCCGGCTGCCTAGCTTTCACTGAAATGCCCACCGCCTCCCGGTGTTAAATGCGGACATTAGCATTTTAATCACCTCCTTGAAAATTAAAAGCAGGTGTGATGACAATGTTTGTGAAGGCTCCCTCTGAAGCTATTTGCTCTTCCTCCCTGGGGGGGTTAGGCACCACTCTGAAATCCAAGTGCTGAGGCTGCCCCCTCCCCTAAAGGGAAATTCCGCCTTGCAAGACGGAAAAGGATCCCACGAAATAGGCTCAAGTGAATAAATACCAAACTTTGCATTTTATTGATTTAAGGCAGCAATGCCTCAGCGGCAACCAAGGCGAAGAAAAAAAATTCCTTGCGGTATAAAAAGCCCCCCCCCTCCCCCAGGGACGAAAAGCACCACCGGGGCCTTTAGTCAACCTCCCATCCCAACTTTGGGACTCGGCTGGAGAAACCTAGGAATCCCCAGCTGACCCAAGAGAGGCCGAGAGGCAGAAGAGATGGGAGATCTCCCCTCGGGATCTGCCTTGGAGAAGGTGGGGAGGGTTGCCTCTCAGGGGTCTCCAAGGGGTGTTTTGGACCTGGCTTTGTGCCCGATGTGAGCCTGGGCTCCTTGTGAAGGACCCGGAAAGGCCCCTTGGGTGGAATGCCCAAGAGGAAGGACGGCCCCTCCCCCTCTGAATTCATGAGGAAGACTCGGGGCTTCCCACCCGCCTCCCCCTCCCCACTGCAGCTCCTTTGGCCCCCCCAGTAACTGGCCCCCCAGACCAGCCCGCAACCCAGCGCCTGGAGAGGGGGCTGTTGAGCTGCCGCCTGGAATGATAAAACGGACCAAATCTTTAAGACCAGTAAAGGCTCTCGGGGAGAAGCACGGAGGCGTTTCTTCTTGTTTTGCTCGTTCTCACGAAAAAGAGGCGCTCCCTTGGCCCGGATGGCGGCCTCGGGCATTCTGGGAGAGTGAAGGATGGGGAAGGAAAGAGGAGATTCCCCCTTGAGAAGACAAAAAGGGCGGGGCGGGGGGGGGGAAAAAACAGCTGAAATGGACAATGAAAAGGAAACTTGGAAGCCCAAATCTGAACAGATTTCTTTTATTAGCTGGCCAGCCAGCTCTCTGCACCAAGAATAAGCAGGTCCACTTCTAAGGGATTCCCTCTCTCTTTCTCTCTCTCCTTTATTTTAAAGTCATTTTTTTAGTCCTTAGGGCCGTGCAGATACAACCTGAAGATGAACAAGAAAAGTCTGCCCCAAATCCGGACGGTTCATGAGGATGAGCAGCTCTGGAGAGAGAGGTTTTCAAAAAATTTCCCTCCAAGATAGCAAAAAATAATAATAAATTACATCCCAAACAAAATCCCCAGGAATAAATTATGCAAATAAAATGCCAGGTGCAACATCTGTCTCTCTCTCTCTCTCTCTCGCACACACACGCGTGTGCGTGTGTGCATCCGGAGTGTTGTGCAACGGTCCTTGTCTCATGGACACGCAGAAGGAAGCCCCCCTGAATCAGGACAGGCTTCCTATCCAGCGCAGTGTGCAAAGGATCCCAGGCTGGGATGCTTGGGTGGCTCTGAAGATTCTCACGGGATCGCCAGAGTGGGTTCTTCCTCAGCCCTGCTAGGGAGGGCGCTCCGCCTTGCCAGAGGAGGGTTGGGGATTTGGGGGGGTGAGGGGCCTGGCGGGGCAGGGGTCCCAGCCCCCCCCCTGTAGAGGGTGGTCCTGAGATAGAAGGCTGCCCACCGCGCCCGCCATGACCTGGCCGGCCTTAGCAGCAGAGCCCACCCCCCGTGTGGCTCTTTGGCAGGTGGTGCAGCCTTTGGCGTCCACTGAACGGCATCCCTTCGGCTGCCTGGGTTTCGCGGGGCGTAACTGGGACCCTCAGCCTGCAGCAGAGCCCCTCCCTCTCTTTACTCCAGCTTGCGGATGTAGCCGTCCACGGTGGGGATCTCGACGTCCTGTTTCTTGACCGGGTCCACCATGTCCTTGTATCTCTCTCCCCGGTGACGCTCCAGGGACGGCCCCCAGTTGGGTTTGGGCTTGCAGCAGTAAACCAGCCTCTGGAAGGAGGAAGAGGAGGAGGAGGAGGAGGAGGAGGTGGGATTCCCGGGCTTGGTTTGTCTTCTGGGGGCTTTGAGGTCCTTCTGCCACCAGCCTCGCCCTCTGGCCTCCCTCTCCCCCGGCAACACTCACCTGCCACAGGTTGCCTTTGGCCTTGGCCACCTTGTAAAAGGCCACCACCGGGATCCAAATGAGGCAGAAAATGATCATGCACCAGCCGACGGCCGTCCCCCACTGCGGGTACTTTATCTTGCCGTACTTGGGGGGCATGAAAGTGATCAGGGACCAAATGAGGATGGCCTGTGGGGGGCGGGGGGGCGGAAAGAAACGAGAGGTGAGAGGTCGCAGCTCTCCAGGTGCACTCCAATCACCCTCATCCTCAGCCAGCATCTCTTCCAGAAGACGCTCAGCTTCTGGTGGCCAAAAAAGCCTAAAGGAACCACAGTCAACTTCTGGCCTCTGGGATGTGGGAAGGAGCAGGTGATAATCCCGTTTATCAGAGCCTTAACACAAATCCTGCCGAAATTCAGAATTCAGATCTGAATGCCTTCCTTCCTTCCTTCCTTCCTTCCTTCTCTCCCTCCCTCCCTCCCTCCCTCGTCCCCTCCCTTCATTCTCCCTCCCTCCCTTTCTTTCTTCCATCCATCATCTTTCCTTTCCTTTCCTTTCTCCTTTCTTTTCTTTTTTCTTTCCTATCCTTTCCTTCCCCTTCCCTCCCTCCCTCCCTGTGGTCAAGCTGCTAGCTTATCTTTTGCCAAACTTGGCCAGCAATTATCTGCATATTTGTTGAACCTCACAAAGTCCGGAATTCTGGCTTCCAAAGAGCAAACACCCCCAGCAAAGAGGCCGTCTACCTGTGGCAGGCAGAATTTGGCCCATTGACTTTTTGTTCTCGACTAAAATCTGCTGAGAGTCAAAGACAAAACATTCCATGGACTTGGGTCGGGGTGTGTGTGTGTGTGTGTGAGAGAGAGGGGGTGGGGGGGGAGAGAGAGAGATCTAGCAGGGTCCAAGGTAGCTGTGAATTCTGCCTTGGAGGAGAGCCACACAGTGCTGGATCCTTTTAGGGGAAGGAACTACCCAGAAGGATTGATAACAATAGGCAGCGATGGTTCCCTCCTGCCCTCTGCTCCTTCCATCTTGCAAACCTTGGTTTTTTTTCCAAGCTTGCTGGTCGTGGCTGGTTTTATTTTGCTTGCAGAATGATTGGCATTCATAGAATGATGTGCTTAGGAGGAACAGGAGCTGCTGTTTTTGGAAGGCATGCAAATAATAGGCCTCCCAACCGAGAGGAGGCCTCTCCATGGGGCGTCTCTGGGCTCTCCTGGGCTTCCCTCCCTCCAAGCCCTTGAAATCTCTGGGCTACTTACCAACAGGAGACAAGGGGTGATGAAGAACCAGCAGGCTCTCCACCACAACCAGAAGAGGAAACTTTTCTTCCCAATCATCATCTCGATGTCTTCGATGAATCGGTTTCCCCCTGGACAAAACAGCCACATGGGGGGGAGAGTTAGTCCTGAGTCTTTGCAGCCGGGCAACTTCCTGGAGTTTTATCCTGTTGCCCCAAAGGAGTCGTGTCTCTTTAACAGTGGGGTCTGGGCTCAAAGATGCCCTACTTGGGACTGGCAAAACTCATTGGTTTCAGATCATCTTTCCCACATTGGACGACTCCAACTGTCCCGAGGGTCAACCACCAAATCTGCAGGACACCCGCCCCCCCTGAACTGAGTTTCGGGAAGGAAAGGGACCTTCCTTTTCACTTGCTGCCTGGTGTAAACATTGGATGTCCCTCCCCATTGGATGTTCTTTTTCAATATAGCAAAGTACCAAAGCTCTACCAAATCTCTCCTCCCGCAAGGATGGCTGAGCCCGGATTGAAGCGTCTCGAAAGCTTTGCATTTGCGGTCAACCCGCAACTTAGTCCCGCTCATCAAGGAGAGTTTGGATGGGGTTGAAAGGCTGCTAAGAAGAGTCCAATTGGCTCTTGTGTTGGGGAGTCTTGGGAGAACTGGGGCGGTGAGAGGAGATCCCAGCAAATATTTACCATAAATCCAGCAAATTCCCAGCAGTTCCAGGATAGCTGCAAAGAGGATCCCCCAGCCTGCACAGAAATGGTCCACCAGGTTGACCCAGTAGATTCCTGCCTGTGGGAGAGAGGAGAAAGAAGTGATACGGTGTCCTTGTCCCCAATAAGTGACTCTCCACGTTTTCCCCATGGGGACTTCCGGCAGCCCAGCATAGGAAAGTGTGAGGAACGGCCCTTGTGCTGTCCAGACAGTATATAGTTAATTGGGAATTGGGAGCTGTCCCCTTAAGGGAATGCCTCATGAGAAAGGTAGCTAATGCATCATGGGAAATGTAGTTCATGCCATGTGGTCACATCTGTAATCCTGATTGGTCACTGAATTGACTGGTTGGGTTGGGGGAGTTTCCTTTACTCTTGCTTGGACCCCAGCATCGTGCTGGTGTCTTTGCCTTTGTTCCATCATTATGGGATGAAGATAACTATATTTTCACACCATGAAGACGACTATGCAAAGTTTGGACGTTAGATGAATCTCAACATAACTGTGAGTTATAACTTTGAGGATGCCTGGTGTGATCCAATAAAGAGACTTTGTATGGAAGCCTTTGTAGCGTTTTAACGGCTTATTTTGCCTAAGACAAGACAGCCGTCCTTAAAGTCTTACCTGGGTCACACAGACGAGCCCGAGCAGAAACAGCAGCAGGCACAACCCCATCGTCACCACAACTCTCATTTTCTTCATCACAGCAGGGTAGATATCTTGGATGGTGGTAGTGATGGTTTCTGCAGAAGGAAGCGGGAGAGGAGAAGGAGAGTCATCCTCGCGCTGCTCTTCTGAGGCCAGCTCCATCCAGCTTCCCCTCCCTGAAACCTCCGTGTCTGGAGGATTGTTACTTGAGAAGGCCTTTTAGTTGTTGTTTTTTCTCAGCTTGCTTTTTCGTTTTTTCCCTTCCCTAACATATCATTCCGACTGAATTCAATCAATTCCATCAGAATAGGGCTGAAAGGAGCCTTGGAGGTCTTCTAGCCGAACCCCTGCTGAAGCAGGAAACTACACCATTTGAGACGAGTGGCCGTCCAGTCTCTTCCAAAGATGAAGCACCCATAACTTTTGTTCCACTGGTGCTCACCGTTAGGAAGTTTCTCCTTAATTCTAGGTTGCTTCTCTCCTTCATTATTCTCCATCCCTTGTTTCTTGCTTTTCTAGTGCTTTGGAAAATACGTTGACTCCCCCCCCTCCCTTCTTTGTGGCAGCCCCTCAAATAGTGGAAGGCTGCTATTGTGTCTCCCCTGGGCCTTCTTTTCTCTAGACTAGCCAAATCCTGCAACGGTTCTTCATCCGTTTTAGTCTCCAGGCCTTTAATCATCCTAGTTGCTCTTCTTTGCACTTTTTTTCCCAAAGTCTCAACATCTTTTTTGTAATGTGGTGACCAAATCTGGATGCAAGGTTCCAGGTGCGGCCTTACTAAGTTTTTATAAAGTGGTACTAATACTTCACGAATATATAATGCAATATATAATGATACATATAATAACAGCAGCCAGAATTGCCTTTGCTCAGAACTGGAAGCAAGGTGACACTCCCTTGGACTTAAGGGTAATAAGAAAGATCTTGGAGTACGCAGAGGTGGATAGGGGAACTATGGAGTTAAAAGGCAGAGAAGAAACGGAATACTATAAGATCTGGAATGTACGGTACCAGTGGTTAGAGAACAGACATAAAGTTGTTCCATGAAGAATATGTAGGAGATATAGTAAAGTGAGGAAGTGTTGCATATATATTTGTAAATATTGTTATGTTAAAAGTAGGAAAAACCTATATAATAGAACAGAACAGAATAGTAACAATTATGTCAATATGAACGAATACAGGCTATGAATGTAAATGTGGTGTTTTAATTTGAAATATGACTAATAAAAAATTGCTTTTGGGGAAAAAAATACTTCACGAATTTTGCAGAAGGAGATGGCCTTTTTTTTACCGGTGGTACTGGCTCCAAACAGCTAGCTTCTTTCTTTTCGCGTAAATGTTAGGAAATACGTAAATGCGACAGCTCAACCTATTAAGTGTTGCAAGACCCACTGAAGCTGGCTGGCAGGATATGTGATGCTCCGTCAGCAGGGCAAACAATACTTTTGACCAAGGCGAAGCATGACCACGTGGCCGGTCTTAACTCAGGGGTCGGCCATCTTAAACACTGAAGGAGCCACAAAGGTCCTAACTGGAAGCCCCGTGTTCAATTCTGGAGCTGGCCAGACTCTATGGTGGTTCCCCCATCATAGAGTCTCCTCCTAGCACGGCTTCCTTTTTCCTCTACCTGTCCTAATCAAAAGCCCTATCAATTGTGGAGCCAACCAGCAACAGGGAGCCACAGCAGAGGGAGGAAAGAGCCACCTGTGGCTCCAGAGCTGCGGGTTGCCGACTGCTGTCTTAAACTGATACTCACCTATGGTGGCAAACTGGGAATCGAGACCCAGAAGGAGAAGCATGAAGAAGAACAAGAAGGACCAGAGAGGAGCCACCGGGAGCTGGGACAGGGCTTCAGGGTAGGCCACGAAAGCCAGGTCAAATCCTGCCAGGAAGCAAAATCAAGGACACCATCAGGAAACGGTCCCTCTCGGCGAAGGAGAGGCCTGTGTGAACAGCCAGAAGCCAACCGGGGCCAATTACGGCAGCTTTCCTGCCAGGGTGGAGGTGTCCATCAGGGATGTTTGGGTTTAGTTCTCACCCTCCAGCCAGTTTGGTGAGCTTAGGAGAGCCCAACCCAGGCAAGAGACAGCTGGGTGGAGGTCACATTTAGTGAAATGATCTAAATGTTACATCAAACTCGAAGGGTAAAAAGAGTCATCTTGCATCACATCTGCCTGAATCCAGTTCTGGTTTCACCACCAGGACCAGAAACACAGAGTCCGATGGCAAACCCAAATACAGAGAAATACAGAACCAAATACAGAATAACAGAGTGGGAAGGGACCTTGGAGGTCTTCTAGTCCAACCCCCTGCTTAGGCAGGAAACCCTACAAACGTCTTCTTAAAAACTTCCAGTGTTGGAGCATCCACAACTTCTGGAGTCAAGTCGTTCCACTGATTAATTGTTCTACCTGTCGGTAAATTCCTTCTTAGTTCTAAGCTGCTTCTCCCCTTCGTTAGTTTCCGTCCATCTGAGCACACAATAGTGAGTTCTGACGTAAGGTGTTAAGAAAAGATTTCAAAGGCAACCCCACGATGGCTATGGAGCCCAGGGCAAATACTCCATCGGACTGACTAGACAAGTGGATTCAGATTTCCAAATATAATTTCAGCTGCAGCCGGAAGGGCCAACACTAACCAGAAGCTTCCAGATTTTCAACGTCAAAGGGAGTCCAGACGTTCGTTGGAAAAGTTTGGACTCCAGTTGGAGATTTTGAAAAATGTCTGCGCGCAGAATCCAAAACAAATCACCTTTTTTTTTTAAATGCACCTGAAAATGTGAGTGAGGCCAGAAGCTCACCACAGATCCGGCGGCCTACGGGGTTGAGCTCACCTGAGTCCACGACCTCGGAGACCTTCTTATTGGCCCTGAAAGCCATGTGGCCCAAGATGGAGAAGATGGCAAACCCGGCAAAGACGCTGGTGAGGCAGTTGGTCACGCAGACGAAAATGGCGTCTGCGTAGCAATTGTTGTGGAATTTGTTGTAGGAGGAGAGGGCGACCAGCCCCCCCCAGGCGACGGAGAGGGAGAAGAAGATCTGCGTGGCTGCGTCTTTCCACACCTTGAAGAAAGAAAGAAAGAGGAAGGCATGTAGGAAGTCGCTCTTGCAATCCCACCGACTTCACCACGGATGTGTGTGCTGCATAAGCCCTTATAAATATTGCAATTCTTATTAGCCTGTGGTGGCACAGTGGTTAGATTGCAGTATTGCAGGCTAATTCTGCCCACTGCCAGCAGTTCAATCCTGACTGGCTCAAGGTTAACTCAACCTTCCTTCCTTCCGAGGTCGGTAAAGCGAGGACCCAGATTGTTGGGGGGGGGGGGGGCAAGAGGCTGACTCTTAAACCGCTTAGAGAGGGCTGGTATATAAGTCTAAGTACTAAGTGCTATTAAGAATATGGATCTTAGTTTATTCTGATGGAGTTCTTTTCCTATTTGGTCGTAACGCTTAACTTGCACCATAAAGGCCTTAATTCTTACAGTAAGGTACTCAACTGGTACCTCTGTGATGGCAGGCAGATATCTATGGGGGGTTCTCGGCCAAAGCGTGAAAGTTGTCTTCCATTATTTTCGTATTTGTTTTGTTTTTCAATTTCCCAACCTAGCTTTCCTTTTGTCTCCCATCCAAGTATTACTCCAGCTCAAACCCACTTAGCTTGTCTGAGATTAACTACGTTCTGCCTCCTAGCAAGCCAGCCAGCCAGCTCTGTTTTTGTGAAATTAGAACCTAGGATGAAGGTTGAAGAATTTTGTTTGTCTGTCCTTGGTGGGACTATACACACACACACACACAAACACACACACACAAGTTCCAGTCCAGCTGCCCTCCATGGGCTGGGTGGTACCAACCTCTGCCTCGCCAAGTTTCGTGAAATTGGACTGGGTCCCGATGTAGTACTCAATGCCCTCGCGGGACCCTTCCAAGGTGGCACCTCGCACCAGCAGTATAATCAGGACAACATAAGGGAAGATAGCTGTGAAGTAGACAACCTGCATGGAGAAGCAACAGAGACTCAGAAAGAGGCCAGACCGAAGCTTTGGGAAGACCAGTGGAATATGGAATACTTTTTTAATTTTGTTTTTTCTTTTTAAGCAGCAACAAAGGAGTTCCCAAATTCAGATACAGGTCATAGGGGGGATTTGATCTTCACTGGATACTGAGGTGGCTCTGTCCTGGGGGACTGTTTACAGAGCTGAGTGGGGCTTTGATATGCAAGGAAGGTCTTGCAAATTGAAGCTTCCTCTCAGGAGTCACCCTGCCGGCTGTTTGTTCTCAGGTGCCCACAGAATTACCTCCCAAATTCTTAGCAGGGAGGACCCGAAAGTCACATCAAATTGCCCTGAACTTAACAACTTGCAGGCTCTTTCCTTAGTGGGCCTGCCCAACTGTGCCTCCAAGGTGACCAGAATGGGTAGGAAGTTGGCATCTCTCCTGGCCCTTTGGCAAATCCTTCATGCCCTTGGAATGCCATGGAACTGGTTCTTTGCTCCGAAACCAAACCCTCAGTTGCCCTACCGTAGCCATTAGCTCCTGCGGGTGCTCTCAGCTACCTTGGCACATGCTCTCTAAGGATCCCCGTCACCCCAACGTCGAGGCTGAGGAAAGGAACCTGAAATACCCCCCTGTTCCAAATGAGGTTGCTGGCGAAATGAGAGCCCTACAGCACCACCAGTAGTCGGCCTTCCGAGGGCCATGAGGCTCGCCCGCAGTTACCTTCCCGGAAGACTTGATCCCTTTGAACAAGCTGACTGCCACGATCAGCCAGGAAAGGAGAAGGCAAAGCGCCAGATACCACACGACCTCCCCGGTCTCGCTTAAGTTCTCCGACCGCTGGAGGACTTTGTTGCTGCCGGAGGAAAAGGAGAGAAGGATGAGCCAGGGGAAGCAGCCTCAACCAGGATGGGTGAAACTTGGCTCGCTCTGTGGTTGGGGTGTGGTTGAGTTGGGGAGAAATGCTGGAGGAGGGATGGCATTCCAGATACTGCCCAACCACAATCGCCAGCATTCCTCAGCTCTGGCCACCTTGACTGGCATTCCTGGGAGCTGTGGTTTCCCATGCTGGCCTGAGACGCTTGCTCTTCAACCCAAGTCCTAGTTTCAGTCCGGGTTGCAATCCTGCTCAGCGTGTCTCAGTCTTCCCCACGTAGCCCGCTGGGCTTTGTAGAATTAATTGCAGGCTCCCTTCTCCTGACTTTAAGTGGCTGTGGGGCAGAGGGTGTTTCTGGAGGCCGAGAAACCTCTTTCCAAGTTGCACATCTACCCAGGAAGTTTTCCAAGGTCTCATGCTGTCTCTCTGCTTTTATGGCTCTCTATCATTCAGTTGTCATCAGAAAAAATAATAACTATATGACGGCCCGCAGCAATCATGATGCAACTAACACCTCTGTGGATAGCACTGTGTTTCCTTTGCTCATGTGTGCAAGGCTCACTTTGGGGGAGGTGAAGTAGATGCAGAGCCCTTGAGAAGGCAAAATGCCCCCTGAGCTGAATGCAACGGTGCTCACTCACTCACTCAGAAAAAGCCCCACCCCTCCACCATCCCCACTATTTGGGGGCAGGCAATTTGGCGACAGGCCTCTTCCCCTCCAGCTCCTACACGAATCTTACTACAACTACCCTGTTCTCACGAAGGACCAAGCCTGTCTGATGATTCAGTTCCATCTACTGTTGAAGGTCCAGGCTGGACAACTTCCAGACACGCTGATTAGATTCCCACCGTTCTCCCATGACGCGGCCAATGGCTGGAGCAAAGATCTCCAAACTTGACAGCTTGGACCATGGCTGGCATGGAAACTCGGGGCGCTGAAGTCCGCAAGCCTTACAGTTGCCACTTAGCCTTGCTCCGTCTAGACCAAAAGGCGGAGGGGCTCCCAAGGTTTCCTTGCGGAGATATCACCTTGAAACGGCCACCCAGCTAACCCAAGGCGAAGGCGACTCTGTGGGCCGCCCACAGCAACCTGAAACAAGGTTCAAGGGTGCATGTTTCACAGCCTCCCCTGGAGATGTGGGGGTGTCCAGCCCGCAAAGCTGGGCACGCAAAGTCGACGTGACTTGTGTGGCAGGTGGTTGGCGGAAGGCGCCCAGCTCAGCCGATCCATACTTACTTCCAGTACTGCTCGCTGGGAACCTGCGTCTCTGCAAACACCTGGGTGTTGTTGATGCAGGTGAGGTTCATGCTCCGCACTTCGGTGTAATTCATCTGGACGGTTGTGCCGCCCATCGTGACATTGCACAGCAACACTGAAAGAGGAGGAAGAAGAGAGAGTCACAAGGTGCCGAGAAAGGGCTTCGCAACGGGGGAAACAGTTGTGCCATAATTTAATTTATTTGCTAGCAAAGTTCCAGGTTTATAAGTTCATAGCGCGAGCCTTTTGCTTCAGGGTTTATTTTTTTCTCCTTTTTGGCCTCCATTTTTACTGTTGTGAACTGTTGAAAGATGTGATAACACACACACCCCAATTTCAGCAAAGCAAAGAACTCTGAAGACCCGCTTTGGCCTGACTGACTGGACCAGTTGTTCCCACGTCTGTTTTTTCTGCAACGCAGCTGGGCCTGGATCCGTGGGCGATAAAGCAGGCTTTGCGGGACGATACACCCCAGTACATTACAATTCCCCTTGAACGGCATTTTACCGCTTGACGCAGGCTTGTGACTGAAACTCCAAACGAAAGGCGTGGTGAAGACGGCTTTCGTACAAAGATGGGAAACAACGCAAGACAATAAGAAAAGATGGGAAAAAATACAAGGGACCAAGACGGGTGCAAAATATGCATTTCTCGCTCTTGGAGAAACCCTAGTTGGCGATGATCAAGACTGTGCTCATCTGCATAACCCCTCCTCCTCGTTTGCATGTCCCCACCCCAGATGCTGCCTCAAGCTCAGCTTGGAAATCTGGCCCTGTGTTTTTATTACAAAAGGAAATGAAAGCTTTTCAGATCTAACCTCCGCACTGCACTGGACACCTGCAGCTAAGGAGGCCATTTTGCACCAGAGGTGGGTATTCTGGAGAACTGGCCGTGGAAATGTTGAGTAGTTTGGAGAACTGGGAAACCCCACCTCTGACTGGAGATTTTGCAGTCTCCTTCCCCTGCCACGCCCACCAAGCCACGCCCACAGAAGTGGTAGTAAGAAAAAATTGAATCCCACCACTGCTTTGCACATAGGAGAATGGCAATGACTGTGTTTAGCGAGGAATTCTTCCCTTTCCCACCGACTTACCGATTGGCGTCTTGCTGCATTTCTGGTCTGCCCATTCTGGGTCGCATGTCGCCCAGGGCAGGACCCGTTGGAAGGAGGCGAACAAGTAATAGAGGCTGTATCCAATGATGACGTTGTAGTAGATGGTCACAAAGGTGGAGATGATGACCATGGTGATTCCCACGCCTGGTCAGGAAGAGAAAAGAGGCCATCAGGAGACGGGTCTCTGAGCTCCTAGGAGCCACCCTGCTGGAAATGCCAACCTAACTGCCCTCGTGGGAAAGCACTGCAAAGAGGGAGGCTGTTGTGGCCTGTTGGGTGGCTAGCGGAGCTGGCAGCAGAGTCGGGCAGTGAGGAGGTTGGGGAGGAGCATGGGTCAGTTCTGGAGGCTGAGAAAGGCTCGGACGAGGGCTCTGCGTCGGAGGCAGAGATGGGGCCAGGGCAGGCTGGCAGTTATCGCTGCCTTTGGAGTCAGACAGCAGTGAGGCAGAGGAGCAGCTGGAGCCGGTTCCCAGCCTGCGCATGCGCAGAGCTGCCAAAAGAAAAGAACCATTAGGAACTAAGAGTCAACGTGGGAGTAAATCCACAGGTGTACGGTGAATGGCCCCTCCTAAAGGGATTAAAAGAGGAGGAGCAAAAGGGGAGGGGGCTTTTGCAGGAAACAAATCGTTCGTTGCAGCAGTGTGAAGATCTGCCTGTGCATCTCAGAGTCCTTCCTTGTCAGCACTGTGTTTGGACGTATTTACTTGGCAGCTCTCCATGCTAGATGAGGTCTGTGCTCCTAATTACACCCTTGAAAGACTGTTTGCCAGGCCTTTGGCTGAATGTGAATTCAAAAAAATCACCTTTGCTTAATAAAAGGGGTTTTGCCGGGACAAAGAGTCGGCTTAGTGCTTTTGGGGGAAGCCGAGGTCAGAACCGTTAGCTCGAAGACCTGCAGACTTTGATAGACCCACCAAGGGTGGGGTACCCTCTGTTTGCTTTTCTGTCAGGATAACAGATCACCAGCCAGCCTGTGTTATAGCCAAAACAAATATTTTGTCCTGAATGTCAATATGGGATGCTTTCAGCATGACTTTTTCACACCGGCTATCAAGCTGATCGTTATCGTCAAGGGGGAAAACACAGCCGGGTTAAGACTGCAGGTACGTTCAGGAAATGTGAAAAAGCTGCTTCCTTGTTCTGCCTGAGATTTTATTTATTTTTTATATTGGGAAATCTATATTGCTGCCTCCTCGCCCAGGGTGACCCAAGGTGGCTTACATGAATAGGAAAACATTGTATGGGAAATTAAAACCCACAGCAAAACCTAGAAAGCAGCGTGGGAGACACTGTGCAATTCTTCAAAGTAAAAACAGGCAAAATAAGATAAACATCAGTTCACCGGGAACCTGCAGAAAAATCCCTGGTTATAGCAGAACCACCCAGCCCAGGTCCCACGCCTCGGAAAACGTTTGCCTTGGCCACCCCGTGCCACGCTGGCCTGGCGTTGGGGAAGCAAGCTTTGTCTTCAGCTGGACCCAAACCAGTCTTCTCCTGGCCCGCCTGAGACATCTTCCAACTTTTGTGAAGGACCCCAATCAGGGAACTGCCAAACAAGCCAGGAGTAAACAGCCCAACCAAAGAACCACCGCAGGACAAGCCACTAGAATAAAAATGGAGAGCAAACTCCACTCCTTACTAGCACTGATGATGTTCCCTAGTTGGGTCACGAAACATCTGCAGGAAAACCACCGAGCTCAGAGAGCACCCAGGAGCCCACAGTCTTCCTCCTCCTCCTCCTCCCCCCCGCCCCGAACTCCTTCCCTTCTAGCCCTGATGATGTTCCCTAGTTGGGTCATGAAACCCAACTAGGGAAACCACCAGGGTCAGAGAGCCCCGAGGATCCCACAGGGTCGTGAGAGTCCCACTCAAGCATTGCAAAAACGAAACCAAAAAGCTTTTCCCAGGACTCCATCCCGGAATCTCCCAGGATGAAGGACAAAACTGACCTTGGAAAAGAGGGAGAATTCTCCAAACAGACACGGGTCCCAAGCTGGCAAACTGTCCCAGGGAGCACTCCATGAAGAAGAGAGGGAGGCCGGCTAGGGCCAGCATGATGGCGTAGGGGATCAGGAAGGCTCCTGAAAGAGAAGAGCCTCATCAGAACCAGTGAGCATGGGCAGGTGCCACGACCCAATCCGACACCTCTGCCCAGGGTACCAGCCTGTGGAAGGAAAATACAGCTCCTAATTGTGATGGGCAGAGATCCCCAAACAGCCCAACATTTGGGGAGACCAACATTTGGGGTTTGGCCAATGGCTTGCAGCTGCCTACAGCGAAGAAGGGGTGGCTGCATCGCAGGCAGGACTCTGCTCCTCCTGCAGATCAGCTGAAGCTTGATTGGGTGCCAATGCCAGGAAGGGTGGTGGATTTGCTTCCCATCACAGGGACTGTCCCCGGCTTCCTTCACACACTTGGCGCATTGCATAACGCTGCTCTTGAGAGAAAAGAGATGAGTGTGCCCCGTGAGTCACACTAGCCGTGCCTTGTTCCCAAGCCATTATAGTCCTCTGGGTGTGTACGATTTGGCTTTACAGTTGCTCCTTTTGTTTTCTTCCACCTTTCGAATCAAGAAGGGCGCAGGGAAGCCAACGAACGGAGGGAGAAAAGGGAGGGCAGCCCTAAAACCTCCCGGCTGAACCCAGGGTCCCTCACCCCAAAGTCTTTGGCTGATGGCTCAGCCTCAGTGGGAGAGGAGGACAACTCGGCTCTCGGTGGGAAGGGTCACCTCTGGTGGGTTGAGGCCCCTCTGGAAAAGGGAGTGTGGAACCCAAACTCAAGCCCTCTATCGGCACCAAGCCTTCTTCGCTGCACTGAAAGTGTCCGGGCACATCTGGACACCCAGAAGCGGCCAATGCAAAGTTTCCAAACAGCTGAGGATGCCAGAATATCTCCTCCATGTTCTGCCTCTTGGTGTACACCCAACAGGTGCGTTCATCTCCTGACCCAACACTCAGAAAAGGGGGAAGAGGATAGTAGGGTGAGAGGAGGGGTGGAAGAATGACCCCAAGGGCACAGCGTGGAGCCTGGCAAAGCCTCAGCCCTGGAAGCACAAACCAAGGGGCCCCCCACCCTTCCACTCCCACCCCCACGCCTATTAAGACGCCCGTGGACTGGCTGGAGTTTTCTAGAGCTACTCCATTGCTACTAACAGGCGGAAGGACCTCTATAAAACCGGGGGGGTGGGGGTGGGGAGATGAGCCTTGCAAAGAAGCCCATGATCTGAAGAGGCCACAAGAGTTACACAAGGGTTAAGAGCCGTCTCTCGGGTGCACTTGAGGTGTAAGGCTGGGACCTCCAACCCTGACAACTTCAAGACTTGTGCTGGCTGGGGAATTCTGGGAGTTGAAGTCCCCTGGTCTTAAAGTTGCCAAGGTTGGAGGTCCCTGATGGAAGGGACAGGTGGGAGTTAGGTGGGCTGTGTCTGCTCACCTGGGGGAAGAAGAAGTCATGCCAGCCAGGTGAGCAGCTCCCGAAAGACATCCTTGGATCAGGGTGTCTGATGGGGAGGCTGTGAGTTCGATCCTAGTTAGAGGCTAATATTTGGAACAGACTCTCCTGCTCAAGCAGGGAGTTGGACTAGATGACCTCCAAGGACCCTTCCAGCTCTGTTATTATTATATGCCTCTGTGTGTTGAGGGGCGGGGTTAGAGCAGCCCCTTACCTCCTCCATTCTGATAGGTCAGGTACGGGAACCGCCACACGTTGCCCAGGCCCACCGCGTAGCCCACCATGGACAGCAGGTAGTCCGTCTTGCTGGACCAGTTGCCCCGCTCGGTGTTCTCATCCTGCGAGTCGGCGATCTTCTCCGTGGACAAAGTGAATTCCTTCCGAAGGAGGAGAAGAAAGAGAAAAGTCAGCCCAGAGTTTCCTTCCTGCCCTTCGGCCCCCTCCGGAGCGTCCCGGGGAGTCTTCCCCCCCTACTCTGCGCAGGGATCCTGCCGGCAGGGGAGGAGAGCTGGCAGGTGCCCGCGGGGTTGGCCGGGGGCCCTGGAGGTTTTGATGACTTTCGGAACCTGAGCCCCCTGAACACCCCCCCCCTCCAAGCTGGGCCCCCCTTTCGCCCCTGCCTGGACGCGCCCACGGGAGCTGCACCCAACAAGGGACGCCAGATCGATGGCCTCCCGGGCGGGGGTCGCGCGAAGGGGCTTCCCTGCCGGAGGAACCTGTGCGCCCCAACCCGGGGCGGGGGGAGCGGGGTGGGGGGGACGCAGCGCGTGGCTCTTCCTGAGCTCCGGCTGCTTCCCTGGGATGCTCAGGATCGCCAAGCGCCGCGCCGAGGTCCCTCCTGCTCAGCGCCCGCCTGGCTGCTCTGGCGCCCCCGGGGCTCTTCCCTTCGCCGAGGATGCCGCGCGCTCGGCTTGCGCCCGGTCCCCGAGGGACCCCGGCAGGTCTCCCTCCTGCTCTGGGCCCGTCTCTGCCGCCAGGGACCCCCGGGCGGGGTGGACAGCTGGGAGCAGACAATCCCCGCGCCTCCTTCCTCTCCCCCCCCTCCTCCTCCTCCTCTTCCTCGCCCGCTCACCTTCTGGCCGCAGCGCAGACAACCGGGCAACCGGAGCCAACCCATCGCGTTCCTTTCTGGGCTGCCGTCGCCCGGTGGGAGCCTTTATAGCGCCCGGCGAGCTCGTCCCGTCCAGCCCCTCGCCCCTCCTCCCCGCCTTCCCCGGGACCGGCCAGGTGGAGCCGAGGGGGCGGGGAGAGGGGAGGGGCGGCAGGTGCGGAGCAGAGCCAGCGCGGCGGAGGTTTCTGCTCCGCGTGGGGGGGGGGGCGGCGGCTGGCCCCGGGTCCCCCCCCCCCCCCCACCTCCCGAGCTTGTCCGGGCTCTCGTGGGATCCGTCCCGCTTGCCCGCCTGTCCTCCTCCCACGATGCCCGGATCCCGCCCGCCAGGCAGCCGAGCCGGGCGGCAGCATCTTCCCCTGGCAGAGCGCGCCCTCCCTCTTCGGGCCTTGGACTCTCTCTGGGGAGGGGGCTCCTAGCCCCTCCCCCCAGCTGCCTTTCACACGACGCCTCCCAATGCGCCTCCAAAGCAAAGAACCCCCCGGACGCAGCTCCGTTGGTTGCCGGGGGGGGGGGGGGGGGGAGAGGAGGAGGGGGCGTTATGGCCGGGTGCCAGTTCCCCAAATAAAAATGCAAATCACCCCTCCCCTCCCCCGCCCCTCACACTCAGCTGACCTGCTTCCTCCCTTCGAAGCCTGACACAAGAGCCTCATGCCGCCGCCCCGTTGCTTCATCGCCCTCCGGACCTTCCCTTTGCCAGGGGTTCAGCCGGGGAAGGCCCTGCCTGCCTGGAGCAAGAGGTTGCAGCCCCGGCGGCTCCCACTCGTGACGGCCGCTCAGAGGAAACGTGGCGGGCAGAGGCAGCGGAAGCACCCACAAGTGTGGTGTAGCTAGGTGCCAACGGCCCTTCTGCCCCCAGAAGAAGGCAGGAGAATCGGCTTCCGTGCCGGGCACCAAAGATCCCTGCAGCCGGGGCAGAAAAGAGTTTTTTCCCCCCTTTGCCACCCACTTCTGGGTTGCCCGGTTCTCCTTGCCAGGCTGGCAATCCAGGGCAGAGACAAGGGGGGCACCATTGTGCGTGGGACGACAAGGTGGTGCTGGAAGTCCTTTGCCGCAAGAGGCAGCTGGATGATCCGCCGAGTTGGCCTTGGAAGTGGCCTTGTTCAGTGGAGAGTTTGTAGTTACATTTCTGAACCGAATCCTTTCAAACAAGCTGTGAATTCCCAACGTTCTTTTTTTTTTTAATGTATAAGAACATGAAATGCAGACGTCTACTAGGAAGACACCTGAATGCCCAGTTTTGGGGAGGATTCATGTTTTCCCACCTTGGAAAGAAAATCATGAGATGCATTTCAAACGGAGAAGTGTGAACGGTAGAAGAGATCAGATTGGCTGCTTAAAAGTCCTTTCTGGATGTGTCGGTTGTGCTCCAACAAACTCGCATATCTGAGTGGGGTGTGCAAAGGGGGAGAACTTGGGAGATCTTCCTCCACCTTCTATCCCACTGTGGGTATCTCAGGGCTTCAGGGAGGCCCCATCCTAGAACTTTGCTCCCAAGTTTCAAGCAAGTGGAAATGGGAATGTATAGTCCGTAACCCCGGCCTCTAAGATTTAACGGCCCCTGAAAAATCCTCCCCAAATCCAACTGCGTCCGTCCTTCGTTCTTCTCAGTTGGTTTCCACCCAAGAGAAACATGGAGGAAAGTCATAGAAGTCATAGAATTTCATGGAGGTGCCACAGAAGAGTTTGAATTCGTCTCCTAAGTGTCCAGCATGGTCACCACTGCAGTTTGGCCAAAGGAGTGCAGTCCAAGGACTGTCGAAGGGCAAAAGGCTCGTTCTTGAGCTGGGCTCTTAACTTGGCCAGCGGGCAGAAGGCAAATGTTCTTAAATTGGGCCCAACCTCGGCCATCTTCGACCCCCAGATCAAAACCAGCTCCTGGGCTTTGAAGAGCCAAAGTCTGTTTTGTATTTAAGCTTTTCATTTGGATGGCTTAAAAGGCTCATCCTGGATCAGAGGTGGGTGTTTACCTGGCTTCCCAGGTGGTGCCAAACACATTTTCCTGCAGAGTGAGGCACCTTCTGTACTTACTGGGATTAAAAGGTGTGCTGTCATGTTGTGCGGCTGCAGCTGTTTGTGACTATGGTGTTCTCCTGGGTTGTGTTTTTAGCACAAGAACCAAAAATGAGGGAGGGAAAGAAAGGAGAAAAAACACCACGCAAAGGGCTGATTTTTAGGGAAGGACGGGGCGGGGGAGGGGATTTCAACCCTGTAATTATTTAATTGTTCCGCTTGGTGGGCTGCTCCAGCTGAGAAGCAAACCTCTTTTAAAGCAACCACAGTCTGAAAATTATTCCCCACAGTTAATTTAATTAGTTCATCTAGCAAGCCAATATCCAAAATTTCCAAAGTCACCAAATAATCCCAAAACGGTTTCTTCCTACTTCTTTCTTTATTTCAAAGTTCAGTGCTCCACTTTCACTTTCCAGGGGCTCTATCTTATGGTAGCAAGATTTCACCTGCTTTGTATCCTTCAAACGTTCACAATTAATTCCTTTTACTACCAGGTGGCCCTCTCTGCTATGTCCAAGTTCCACCCTTTTTCTTCCACTTTTTTCCCCCTTTGATGGCTTTTAAGTTTCAAAGTTCTTCATTTTTTGACACATTCAAGTTCAGCTTTAGGCTTGCCTATTTAGTGTCAAAATGATTTTAAGCAAATATCTTCTTCAGGCTTCTCTTTCAAAGTTCAAAGCCACTTTCAGCTGTCGAATTCCCCCTCCCCCCCTTTTTTTCCTTCTCTGCCGCCGCTTTAAAAATCTTTCTTAAAAGTTCTTAATTATTTTAATTCCAGGGTACCTTGTATTTAAATATTGTTACCGCTCAGCTCGGTCACTCAAGCTGTCCTCCTCTTCTATGTTCCTGCACATTCTTCCTCTTCAGGGTGGCCATCTTGACCGCCGCTACAGCCGTCTTTGGAGAGGAGTAAGTGCCAAGCCAAGGAGGGGATCTGCAGCTCCTCTCAACTCAGCTGGTGGTCTCCCCCTTCTTCACCACCTCTACGGGGTGGCCTTGGCCTCAAATCGGGTAGATCGGGGCCCTCTGACGGAAAGCACAAACGGAAACCACGGACGATCGCAGAATTTGGTCCATCACCGAGGAAGTCTAACGGAAGGGATCCCTTCAGCTCACTTTCTGACGACTTCAGGGGCACAGCCAGGTTGTGGCCTTGGCAGCTGGAAAGACGTGGCCTGCAGTTGCCTTAATCCAGGTTATATTTTAGATTTGCTAGTCCCGGCCTGCAGTTTGGAGATTGTCACAAGCTTCCAGCTCAGTTTGGAACAGGTTCCGCAAACTTTGGTGTTCCTTGATCAGGCCTGGTGGACCAAGAAAGCCCACCGGATCTATTTGTCTGCAAGGCAGGAGTTAGGGGTAGAATGGAAGTTACTTTCTCTCACTTTCTTAAGCTGTTTTCAATCCAACAGAGAGATTAGAAGTTTCATAAGATGCGCCTTTATTTAAACACAGTTGTATCAACGAACTGAATTCGTGATTAAAAATACAAATCTTCCTGCTTTGAAGTAAGACCATGGAATCCGTGAGGTTTATTCCAGGTAAACTTCATGTTTTGTTTTTTTATCAGTTAAACATTCTTCTCTTGACTTTTATCAGTTTGCTAATGCCTTAGTGACGGGCTGGGCTACCAGGAACTTACCTGAATTTAGCTTTTCTAGCAACCAACCTTTTATCGCATTTCATGAAGGAAGCAAGGTTTTAGGCGAGAGCACACAACCCTTACTATCTTTGTATCAAATTAACTTGAAAAGTGAGTATACGTTGTAGTAATATTTGGCTTAGATTAGTCTTGGTGATGGTTGAATGGGTGGGACTTATTGCAAAATGATATGTTTGATCTAGATTTTTTTTTTATCCTACTATTATTATATTTACAAATAACTCGAGGTGGCAAGCGTAACCAATTTCCTCCTTCCTTTTTCTAGTTTTCCTACAGCCACCCAACTGATGTGTCATTCTAGTTTTTAATTCCATCTGTACCATCTGTGAAAAGTTCTCAAGATTGGAAGAATTTGAAGCAGCGGAAGAGAAATCACAAATCTTCAATGCTGGGAATATTTCCGCACCTGCAGTCTGGAAGTACTGACTTCCCAGTTGGGGATCATTCAGCCAAACTCCAGAGTGGACTCCGTGAAGCCTCAGAAAAGGTTCTGACTATCCCCCAAACGTTTGTGTGATTCGGTAGTTCAAGTGAAAAATGTTATCGCAGAGATGTTTTCTGGAAAACGGGAAGGAAGACGAGCAGAGATCCTGCACTCTCCACCAACGGCATGATCTCGTGTTCAGAAAACAGAAAGGGAGGATGAGATGTCCAAGAAACTTCTGAGGACATTGGAACTAGCTTTAGTTCTCCTTGCCTGAACTTTTGTCAGCCCAGAATTATCTCACTTTCTCCTGTTTGCCTTGATCTTCCATCCCTAAGACCAGGGGTCCCCAAACTTGGCAACTTGGAGACTTGTGGACTTCAACTATGCTGGCTGGAGAATTCTGGGAGTTGAAGTCTTCAAGTTGCCAAGTTTGGAGAGCTCTGCCTTTCAGGGAAGGTTTCCATCCCTTCAGCTTCAAGATGACCAAGAATGAGATCTTCTGGGATGAATTCACCCTGTGAACAACGGCGTTCCTGGAGGTTCTTCCTGGAGTTTAGCCAATGTGGCCTCACAAAGGAATCATCGCTGTAGCTTCCTATCAGAATGTTGCCCACAGTGAACCAAGGAGGTGAATTTGAAAAGGCGGGTTGGGCCAACTGCCCCGCCTCGAAACAGGGAAAGAAAGTTCACCTGAGCAATGATGTAAGGAGAGAATCAAATACTCGATGTCAAGAGGAACTCTTCCCCTTCTGAGCCCCGTCAGGAGGTTGGGATAGCGAGAACTTCCAGGATAAGGTGAGGCTGAAGCCAAAGCCCAGGTCATTCCAGGAAGGCTGTGCCGTGACTGAGCCTTTCACATCTCCTTTGCCCAAGGTTTGAACAGCTTCCACGGACCTTAAGAAGATGAAGGCTGCAAAGAAAACCCAGGTTGCATCCTTATACAGCTAGTCCTTGAACCATTCATGTAGC